AATGGGAGACTGTCTAATGAAGGAATGTATAATGGGGGACTGTCTATTGGAGGACTGTATAATGGGGGACTGTCTATTGGAGGACTGGAGGTAGTGAGAAGCGGATGATCAGCGTCTGGTGAGGTGTTGATGAGTCACAATGAATGACATTCTGTAGAAGTTCTTATCTCAGATAGTGAAGCCGCCTGCAGGCCGATCTCTGTAACGGGAGGTTCTCTGGAGGCGGACTGAAGAAATTGTCTCGTTCGGTCTTCACACATTATATATATATATAGAGACCAAAACCTTTTCTGTAGGACGGAGGAGAGATGGATTAGAACCCCAGTCACATCTTTATTGCTGCTCGGGTCCCCTCCGGGTGAACTCACGCTCCCTACAGGAGCCATAAATAGTGATTTATAAGCTGCAGCGCATTCATGTGATGAGTGGATATCACAAGCCGTTGGCAGCAGGAAACCGAGATAGGCTTAGCTCTACTATAAAGAGTACCTGTCATTGGACGAGGGCTGAGAACGAAGGCATCAAGGGTCCCTCCAAATGACTACTTTCACATTCCGGAATGGACTTGGTTCTCCCGGGTCAGTGACCCACAAGGTATTTAATCCAGAGACACCCAGGAAACGAGCACCTCAGAAGGTACACAGCCATGAGGACACCCCAAGTTCTCTCGCTTCTACATGCACTATTTTTTCCAAAGTATTGATATTAGAGCGGAGACTGCGAGCCCCTCCCCCAACATCAGTACCTGACCTCACAAATGGTCCAACATTCCCATAGACACACTCCTAAACCTCGTGGACGCCTTCCCAGAAGAGGCGGAGCTGTTATAGCAGCAAAGGGCGGAGCCAACCCAATACTGAACCCTACGGGCTAAGACTGGGGGGCCATTAGAGTTCATGTGCGTGTAAAGGCGTCCCGATACTTCTGGCGATATAGTGTATCTTATTATAGCTTTATGTTATGCTTTGCAATGCACTTTGTACGAAATGTCAATGCGCATCATGATGACCGTTCTAATGCATGCATTGGGGTTCCACGATTCCAGCCTGAACCTTCCAGAGCTGACGCCTTCCTGACATATCCGCCATCTCCAGACCGTGGCTGTTTTGGAAATTGATCTTTGTCGAGATTCCCATCAGCCCCCAGTGACTGGCGTCTCCTTGAGAGCCACTGAACGCGGGAAACATATGGACTGAACCCAACAGTCCGCTCCAAAAAAATCTCACATCACCACCCCCCCGCCCCGACCTCCAGCAAATAAAAACCAACACAGCAGACACTTTCACCTCCGAGACCATTGAAACAATACGTTCCTACAATTTATTCCCCCAGAAAATAAGTTAATACATTCACACACAAAAAAAAAAAAAAAGTCAATGGAATTACATTTCTGGACAGCAGCCCGCCCCTCCCCCACCAAAAGTCCCCTCAGAGTTCCACTTATCACTAAAACACTGTTTGACAAGTCCTCACACACATTAAAACACTCATCGAAGAGAAAGGATTCTTATTTTCCTCCGGGCCCCGGCTTGGCTCTGCTCCAGCCTTTGACACACTGTCTGCGGTTTGGCGCATCGGCTTCCTGGAGTCATACCAATGGTGTGACAACAATGATGGGTTGCAAGGGGCAGCAAACATTGTTACCTTTAAGGAGACCCTGCCGCCAACTTCAGCCACTGATCATAAAAATCTAATAAAATGTATTTTACACACTTACTTGCCGTGTTTTTCCTTTCCATAAATAATTTTTTATTCACTTGCAATGTGCCTGTGAACTGCTAGAAAATTTGACTACACCAGGAAGTGTCAATCTCCCCCCCATGCATATCGTAGCCCTCTTTGTTCTCTTCTGGGAGGTTCTAATTACTGTCTGTACTGGCCCA